CGGGGTGCTGCCTCAGCCCCGCGGGGCGGTTCTGCCTGTGGGGCTTCCTGACGGGACGTCTGACCTGTGAAGCCCAGAGCCCTTTGTGCTGAGCTCAGGAGCTGGCCAGTGCTGTGGGAATGTTCCAGAAGGGGCTGCTCCACCGAGAGGCTGGTGGCAGGTGGCCGTGGGAGCCCCAGCCCGGTGACCGTGTGGCTGGGGCCCCCAGACTTCTGCTGGGAGGCGGGTGGGTCCTGGGCGAGGCCGTGCACCACCTTGCTGCCGGCGGCGCTGTCCACGCGGTGTTTCACATTGTGGTTTGTGGTCCCCCCGGGCCCACCCGAGCTGCTCTGCCAGGAGCGCCTTCAGGAGTGAGCGAGCGGGTACCTCCCCGTGGGGCCCTCCTGCGGGGCGGTTCCAGCTCTTGCTCCCCCCAGGACCTGTGTGAGCGGCACGAGAAGGGCGTGCTGCACAAGCACCAGCGGGCCCTGCACAAGTACAGCCTCATGAAGCGGCAGATGAGCGCCGCCGTGCACAGCCACGAGCCCGAGTCCGTGGAGCAGCTGGAGTCACGCATCGTGGAGGTGCCCAGGCATGGGGGTATCCTGGGGGGCATCGTGGAGGTGCTCTGCATAGGAATGGGGGGCGGGGAGGCGAGAGGAGAGTCCTGGACCTGCCTCCGCTGGACCCAGAGCCACACTAGGGGCCTGTGTGGTGGCTGTGGGCACCTCCGACGCTTGGCTCTGCCGGGCGGGAGTTGCAGGGGGAGGCCCAGGGAGGCAGTGCGCTGGCGGACCGCCCGCCGGGCCGGAGCGAGGAGGCTCTTTGTCTGCAGCAGGAGAACGCCATCCAGACGATGGAGCTGCGGAACCACTTCTCGCTGTTCTGCCTGCACCAGGAGACGCAGCTGGTGCACGCCTACCTGCCCCTCACCTCCCACATCCTCGGGGCCTTCGTCAGCTCCCAGATCCAGGGCCACAAGGAGGTGGGCTCCCTGTGCCGCCGGCTCGGCCAACTGACCCTGCAGTTTCTTAGGAACGTTAGTGGGAGAGCAGGGCCTGGACGTGGGCAGTGGATGCTGGTGAGGCCGTCCTGACCCGGGGGGGTGGGGGGCGAGAGGAGCAGAGCAAGACGGGGACAGTCCTACCTCCTGGACTCCAGGAGCCGCAAGAGCAGATCCCAGAACTGAGAGGCGGGCGGGAGGGGAAGAGGGGCCCCGAGTGGGCCTCCCAGCGCTCGGCCATCCCCAGGTGGGGCTCCTGAGCTGGCGAGAGACGTGGTGCCCTGGGACGTGGAGGCTGCGGCCACAGCTGCTGGTTCCACTGACCTAGGGCAGCAGTTCTCAACCTGTGGGTCTCGACCCCTTTGGCGGTCGAACGACCCTTTTACTGGGGTCGCCTAAGACCATCCTGCGTATCAGATATTTACATTAACGATTCCTAACAGTAGCAGCATTACAGTTATGAAATAGTAATGAAAATAATTTTATGGTTGGGTCACAACATGAGGAACTGTATTTAAAGGGCCAGAAGGTTGAGAACCACTGCCTTAGGAGCTGGCCCTTCCACACCCCCTGTTAGCCCTGGGGGCGCAGTCTCCTAAGCGGGTGCATCTGCTGGGCCACCCCCGGCTCCTCGGCTTGGTGCGGACTCTGAGGCTCGGGATGGCTAAGGCCCTGACCCAGATCCCAGCCCTGCACGGAGCGCTCGTGGCTTGGTGGCCAGGACCCCCGTGGCACGGATTTCCTGCCTGAACAAGGGCATGAGACACAGCGGCGGGCACTCGGGGGCTGGGCTACACGCAGCCACCTGGCCTGCGGCCGTGCTGGGCGCAGCTGGACTCGGCGTCCCTGCCTCAGCCTGGGCGCTGCGGGGCTCGGTGGGCTGGCCGCAGGCCCTCTTCCTACGTCTCTTCCGCTTGTGTGGTCCCTGGAGGAGGCTGTGCCGGTGTCAGCTGTTAGAGGGAGCGCCGGAGAGGAAGGTGGCCAGCAGACCTGTGCCCTCAGTCCTGTGTGCCGGGGACAGGGACTGGCCACCCGGCACCTCTGGTTTCGGGCCACCCCTCGTTTGGGCTTTGTCTGTGGAGGAATGGGGGTGACGCAGGGAGCGGAGAGGGCAGCCCAGTGGTGGCATGTTCCCCTCGCCGACACCTGGCGGGCTGTCCTGGGTGTCCTGTGAAGAGCTGTGCGCTGGGCGGTGCCACCGGCTGACCCTGTCCCCTCCCCGCAGATGAGTAAGGTGTGGAACGACCTGAAGCCCAAGCTGCACTGCCTGTTCTCGGGACCCGCCAGCGCCCTGACCCCGCCTCGGTCCCCGCGGGATGGCCTGTCTCCGCACTAGTGCCGAGAGGACCCGGCGCCCCCACTAAAACGTCTTTCCAAACGGTGTGTCCCTGTTTAATTCCGACCAGATGGCAGCTGTTCCCCGTCCCGCAGCTGCCACTGCCCGCAGACGAGCTGCCCAGAGCTGGTGGGGCCGGGACCCAGGGCCATGGCTCCCCCCTCCCCTCGTGGGAGCAGGGCCGGGACAGACCCCGGGTCTGAGTGTCCGCTGAAGCTGAGGCAGGAGGGGTCTGCTGGGTTGTCACACATACGTGGGCCCCAGCACTGTGGCCTGTTAGTCTGGCCGTGAGAAGAGTTAAGATGCCCTGGAGTGGTTTTCTCCCGACACCAGAGGGCAGGGCGGCAAGGATGCTCTCCCAGCTGATGGTGCCTGGGTGTGTGCAGGGACCCCATGTGCAGGGACAGCGGGGTGATGGACTGCATTAGCTGAGCAGGGAGGAGGCTGACACCCCCCAGAGGGCAGGCCCGGCCCTACAGCCCGCACGCCATGTGGTCAGCTGGCAGCCCGAGGTGGGTGGCCGTGCGAGAGCGTTTGAGCTGCAGCACCCGGGTCGCTGGGTGCAAGCTGTTTCCGGAGGACAAGCCCTGGCACGGGGCCCTGGCCTGGGACTGGCCTGCAGGTGGTGTCCTGGTCCCCCCTGCACACGCACACGCACACGCACACGCCGTCACTGATGCTGTGCTGGGGCCGGGGCGGAAGGCCGGCGCTGTCTGCCAGGAGCTGCCCTGTCCTTTTTGGGGCTTGGGGTGGAGGAGCGAGGGTGGCCGGGGGGTGCTGTTCTGGCGGTGGTGGCCCAGGGGCCTGTTGCTGTGGTTAACCCTTCAAACTACCTCACTTCTCTGGGGACTAGAACGCTCCTCCCAGCCTCTCCTGCCCTTGTCACCCAGCCACCTCTCCCAGGGCCGGGATGGTGCCCCCAGCCCTCTCCCAGGGCCCGGGATGGTGTCCGGCAGCTCTGGGGTGGGAGGGGTGCTTCGTGCTGAGTCCATCTGAACAGGAGCAGACAGGACCCCGCGGGGCAGGCGCCTGAGGAGGCTCTGGCTGCACCGCAGGATTGTGGGATCGTGGGGAGCCTGCCTTCCAGGGCGCCTGCCTGACTCGGGGTCTCTCGTCTGATGTAGCCTCTCTTCCTCGTGGCGTGTGGGACCGACCGGAGGGGAGGCTCTGACGACCGCGGCTGTAGAGGGGCTGCCCACGCCGGGCTCAGCCTGGTCCGTGCCACTCCCTCCCCTGCGCCCAGCAGTAACCAGACACTCGTCACCATTGGGCCTAAGGCGCAGAGCCTGAGGCGTGCGGGACTCGCTGACGCTGAGGGTGGGTCTGCAGCCGGGCCTCTCCTGTGAGTCAGCCCGGCGAGGGAAGCACTTTACGCCCCGAATCCGTGACTGCCACAGCAACTGGAGTTGTTTACAAACGGTCCACAGTCCCAGGTTTTTGCCAAGAAACTAACATGAACTGTTATTAAACGTATTTATAAAAGTTGGGTGAGGTTGTGAGCTATCTGTGTGAGTGGGTGGTGCCCCCTCCTCTTGGGCTAAGGGAGGGCAACCAGGGTTTTAGCCTTGGCCCTGACCGTGCCTTGGTTTCCCCAGGTCTAAAGGAAGGATCACAAGGGTGGTGAGGACCTGCCGCCTGCCCACCTCTACAATCCCAACAAGAGCCGCGGCACCAAGCCAATCAGTGCCCAGCTTCCCCCCCCCACCCCCCCAGCTGCTCCCTTCGCCCGCGGCCTTGTCTCCCTGTCTGCCCACTGGTGCCGTCACGGCCAAGCGTGCCTGCTGGCGTCCCAAGCACAGGCCTGGCGAGAACTGAAAAGGCGAAAGACATTTATTTTCTTTCCCATCCACTCACGTTCCAAACACAAAACCCAGGCGTGGTTCGCCGGGTGGGCCCACGTGCAGTGCGGCCGTGACTGCGGCCAGAGGGGCGCGCATGGTCCTGCCGCTAGGCCGTGTCCACCTCGTGCAGCCTGTAGTCCAGGATGGTGTCCTGGCCCTGGAACTTGAAGTAGCCCTGGAACTTCTTCTTCTGCAGCAGGAGGGGAAACCAGTAGCTGTCGTCCGGCCACATGTGGGCGAAGGGGATCTGGTCCAGGGGGAACCACTGAGGCCGCATCTCTGTGGGTGGAAGGAGCACGGGTTCCAGGCCGGACTGAACTGGCCCGGGGAGCCCGCGGGCAGTGCCGCCAGGAGCACCTCCTCCGGGTCCTCAGGCTGTGGTTGTAGAGTAGGAAGGGGTCGGGGTGCTGGTGCCCTGGGGCCTGCCTCCCAAGAGGGCAGGGGCAGGGCTGCCCAGTATGGCGGGGTGTGGACTCACCCTCACTCTCCGTGGGCGTCCCCTGCACGCTGTCTGTGCAGAAGATGTGCACGTCCATCAGCTCGGGCTCCCCCACGAACTCAAACGTAATGTGGCCCACCTTGCGCAGCGCGTCCACGGTCACCCCGCACTCCTCCTGCAGCTCCCTGCGGGGCGGGAAGGCCACAGCTGGAGCCGGTGCCGTCCTCAGAGCCCCCAGCACGGTGCCGGGGGACGAAGAGCGACAGAGGTTTTTTTACAATTAATTTTTAAATATTTAAATTCTTTAAAAAAATACATATTCTTATTGAGTCCAGAGAGGAAGGGAGAGGGAGAGAGAAACATCAATGATGAGAATCACTGATCAGCTGCCTCCTGCACGCCCCTCACTGGGGCTCGAGCCCACAACCCAGGCATGTGCTCTGACCAGAATCAAACTCGGGACCCTTAAGTCTGAAGGCAGATGCTCTATCCACTGAGCCAAACCAGCCAGGTATTTGTACACAGAAGGGAAATGCGTCCTCTGGACCTCATGAGGGGCGGGGGTCAGGGCAGTGACAGGCCACTGGTTTGGGTGCAGACTCGCTGTGGACCTTGTGGCTGCCCAGGCCTGCCTGTCAGCTGCTTGGATCTCACGGGAGGAGGGTGGTAGAGCTGGGAACCCTGACCCGTCCACGGCTCCCGCTCCCCCGTGGCTGCAGCTCGTGGGAACCTGGGTCCTGAACTGAAGTCTTTCCGCCAGAACAATCATCCCCCCTCTCCGTCCCTCCCCCCTCCCACGCTGGGCACAGGGTCCCACTGCAGACAGGGCCCAGCAAGGAGACCCTGCACCCTCCAGGGCGTCGAGCTTTGGGCCTGTCTCTTCGCTCCCCGCCTCTGGCCTGTTCTCAGAGCTGCTGCTCAGAGGGGGTAAGGTCAGTCCGGCACCAGCACAGCCAGGATGGCCCGGCCACGCCAGGGCAGGCACCCGTTTTAAAGTGTTTCCAGTTGCACCTGATGGCAGACACTCTGGCAAGCAGCCCGGGACCCCTCACCCGGAAGGGGCCTTGCACCCCCCACACCCTGCAAGGAGCTGCAAACGTCACACCGTGTACCCGCTTTACACGCAGCAGAGCGGCTCGGCCTCAAGGACTTCAACCGGCTTTTCCACTGCTGTTAACAGAGGGACAGTTTCCAACTGCTCATCACGAAGCCCCTGGCCTGAGCCCTGAGCCCCGAGTGCGGGTACACCGCACTGCTGACCCCCCCGCCCCGACAAGCTGCGCAGCGCGGCTCCATGGCTTGGCGGCCTGTCACCCGGCAGGCCAGGGCCTGGATCTGGGCTGGGGACTCGGGCTGCCTCTGCAGCCCTGGAACTGGGAGTCTGAGCCTCCCTTTAGCGATCCCCTCCCCCACGGCCCTGTATGTATTTGTTTCTATAAAGACGTTCTGGTTATGTCTGCCCTTTGTCCTTGTGGGTGAAGTTTCTTTAGCTTCATCTCCAGGCGGCCTTCGCAGCATGACAGTTACTTTCCCTGCCTCTACCGAGGACTCAGACACATTGGGTTAAGTGGCCTGATCCCGCGGATCACCCTGACCTCTGGAGGCTATTTCAGCTGTAATTTATTCGCTGAGATGCTGCAAGAAAACCAATGCAGGAGCTCAGCGGCCACCGCCTCTCCTCTCGGCAGCAGCTGGCGGATCTCGTCTAGTCTTTGAAACCTTCACCTCCTGAGTCAACATTCTGACTAACTGGTGAACCTTCCCCGGGTTCAGGGCAGTGTGAGAAACGCCAGTATCCACCAGCAAAGCTACACAGCTCCTGGGGTGACCGACAGCAGACAGCAGCGACAGCGAATCATTAACACCTCAGTGAGGTATCAGCCCACCTACCAGAGCGGCCCCCAGCACAACACCTTCCCAACTGAGTCCCCAAAACCACCCCACCCCCGAAGCAGCTAACGGGTACTCAGTTATGTGCAGCCCCAGTCTTCACAACCATCCTAAGGCGTAGGTACTGTTATCTTTAAACATTTTTATTAAATGTTTTTATTGATATTAGAGAGGAAGGCAGAGAGGAGTGAGAGAGAGAAACATTGATGTGAGAAACATCGACTGGTACCTCCAGTACCACCCCTTGGGGGACAGAACCTGCGACCTGGGCACGTGCCTTGACCGGGAATGGAAGTGGCAACCTTGCCGTGCACGGGACAACACTCCACCAATGAGCCACACTGGCCAGGGCCTGTTGTTACTCCCATTTTGCAGATGAAGACACTGAGGCTCAAAGGGGTGAAACCAGGGGTCTGGCTCTACAGCTGGAATCTGCATCCCCTGCCGAAGCTGGGCCTGCGGTCAGGCCCACGCCTCCCTCACCTCTTGGCCCCGTCCTCGATGGTCTCTCCTTCGTGAACTTTGCCCCCGAAGCCATTCCAGCGGCCGGCCCCGAAGCCCCGCTTCTTCATGCCCAGGAGCACTCGCTGAGGCTGCAGCACCAGCACCAACGTATAGAGCCTGGAGGCGCTCATGGTCCCGGAGGGTCCTGGGAGGAGGGCGGGCGGGTTGGCTTGGCTTGGGCGCGGGGCTGTGGATAGGGGCAGGTGTGCTGCGGGGGCAGGGGCAGGTGGGGCAGAAATGTGCTCCGGAAGGAAGGGACGAGCCTGCTGGTGACCTCCCAGCGCTGCACTGTCCATAGCAAACGGTCTGGGCTGGCAGAAGGCCTGGCCTTCAGAACCTGAGGCAGCAGGAGCTGGAGGGACACACCTTCCCTTCCCCGCCCTTGGCGCAGGCCCCGCCCTGAGCCCAGGCCCCGCCCCCAGCGCAGGCCCTGCTTTAGCACGTGCTCCTCTACACAGGAGGGCAAGTCCAACCCGAGTGCTCAGGGGTTGAGCAGCGACGTGTGAACCAGTAGGTCACGGTTCGATCCGGTCCTCCATCCCCAGTGTGGGGCGCACAGGGGGCAGCCGGTCCATGATTCGC